GATTATAGTGATTTTTACTGTCTCAGTCAGTGATTTGATTGTAGTAATTTTCACTGTCTCAGTCAGTGTTTCTGATTATAATAATTTTCACTGTCTCAGTCAATGATTCTGATTAAAGGAATCTTCACTGTCTAAGCAAGTGTTTCTGGTTATAGTGATTTTTACTGTCTCAACCAATGTTTCTAATTTTAGTGATTTTCACCGTCTCAGCAAGTGTTGCTGATTACAGTGATTCTACCGTCTCTGCCAATTCTGCTGGTTGTAGTGATATCACCGTCTTACTCTGTATTTCTTAGTAGTTTACCGTCTCAACCAGTGTTTCTGGTTATGGTGAAATTACTGTCTCAGTCAGTGTTTCTGGTTATGGTGATTTTACTGTCTCAACCAGTGTTTCTGGTTATGGTGATTTTACTGTCTCAGTCAGTGTTTCTGGTTATAGTGATTTTACTCTCTCAACCAGTGTTTCTGGTTATAGTAATTTTCACTGTCTCAGTCAGTGTTTCTGATTATAATAATTTTCACTGTCTCAGCCAGTGATTCTGATTATAGTAATTTTCACTGTCTCAGTCAGAGTTTCTGATAATAATAATTTTTACTGTCTCAGTCAGTGTTTCTGATTATAATAATTTTTACTGTCTCAGTCAGTGTTTCTGATCATAGTAATTTTTACTGTCTCAGTCAGTGTTTCTGATTATATTAATTTTCACTGTCTCAGTCAGTGTTTCTGATTATAATAATTTTTACTGTCTCAGTCAGTGTTTCTGATTATAATAATTTTCACTGTCTCAGCCAGTGTTTCTGATAATAGTAATTTTTACTGTCTCAGTCAGTGTTTCTGATAATAGTAATTTTCACTGTCTCAGTCAGTGTTTCTGATTATAGTGATTTTTACTGTCTCAGCCAGTGTTTCTGATTATAATAATTTTCACTTTCTCAGTCAGTGTTTCTGATTATAGTAATTTTCACTGTCTCAGTCAGTGATTTGATTATAGTAATATTCACTCAGTCAGTGTTTCTGATTATAATAATTTTCACTGTCTCAGTCAGTGTTTCTGATTATAATAATCTTCACTGTCTCAGTCAGTGATTTGATTATAGTAATATTCACTGTCTCAGTCAGTGTTTCTGATTATAATAATTTTCACTGTCTCAGTCAGTGTTTCTGGTTATAGTGATTTTCACTCAGTCAGTGTTTCTGATTATAATAATTTTCACTGTCTCAGTCAGTGTTTCTGATTATAATAATCTTCACTGTCTCAGTCAGTGATTTGATTATAGTAATATTCACTGTCTCAGTCAGTGTTTCTGATTATAATAATTTTCACTGTCTCAGTCAGTGTTTCTGATATTAATAATTTTCACTGTCTCAGTCAGTGATTTGATTATAGTGTGTAATTTTCACTGTCTCAGTCAGTGTTTCTGATGATAGTAATTTTCACTGTCTCAGTCAGTGTTTCTGATTATAATAATTTTCACTGTCTCAGTCAGTGTTTCTGATTATAATAATTTTCACTGTCTCAGTCAGTGTTTCTGATTATAATAATTTTCACTGTCTCAGTCAGTGATTTGATTATAGTAATATTCACTGTCTCAGTCAGTGATTTGATTATAGTAATATTCACTGTCTCAGTCAGTGTTTCTGATTATAATAATTTTTACTGTCTCAACCAGTGTTTCTGGTTATGGTGATTTTTACTGTCTCAGTCAGTGTTTCTGATTATAATAATTTTCACTGTCTCAGTCAGTGTTTCTGATTATAGTAATTTTCACTGTCTCAGTCAGTGATTTGATTATAGTAATATTCACTGTCTCAGTCAGTGTTTCTGATTTTAATTATTTTTACTGTCTCAGTCAGTGTTTCTGATTATAATAATCTTCACTGTCTCAGTCAGTGATTTGATTATAGTAATATTCACTGTCTCAGTCAGTGTTTCTGATTATAATTATTTTCACTGTCTCAGTCAGTGTTTCTGATTATAATAATCTTCACTGTCTCAGTCAGTGATTTGATTATAGTAATATTCACTGTCTCAGTCAGTGTTTCTGATTATAATAATTTTCACTGTCTAAGTCAGTGATTTGATTATAGTGTATAATTTTCACTGTCTCAGTCAGTGTTTCTGATTATAATAATTTTCACTGTCTCAGTCAGTGTTTCTGATTATAATAATTTTCACTGTCTCAGTCAGTGTTTCTGATTATAATAATTTTCACTGTCTCAGTCAGTGATTTGATTATAGTGTGTAATTTTCACTGTCTTAGTCAGTGTTTCTGATAATAGTAATTTTCACTGTCTCAGTCAGTGTTTCTGATTATAATAATTTTCACTGTCTCAGTCAGTGATTTGATTATAGTGATTTTTACCGTCTAAGCAAGTGTTGCTGATTACAGTGATTCTACCGTCTCTGCCAATTCTGCTGGTTGTAGTGATATCACCGTCTTACTCTGTATTTCTGATTATAGTAGTTTACCGTCTCAACCAGTGTTTCTGGTTATGGTGATTTTACTGTGTCAACCAGTGTTTCTGGTTATGGTGATTTTTACTGTCTCAGTCAGTGTTTCTGATTATAATAATTTTCACTGTCTCAGTCAGTGTTTCTGATTATAATAATCTTCACTGTCTCAGTCAGTGATTTGATTATAGTAATTTTCACTGTCTCAGTCAGTGTTTCTGATTATAATAATTTTCACTGTCTCAGTCAGTGTTTCTGATTATAATAATCTTCACTGTCTCAGGCAGTGATTTGATTATAGTAATATTCACTGTCTCAGTCAGTGTTTCTGATTATAATAATTTTCACTGTCTCAGTCAGTGTTTCTGATTATAGTGATTTTCACTGTCTCAGTCAGTGTTTCTGATTATAGTAATTTTCACTGTCTCAGTCAGTGATTTGATTATAGTGATTTTTACTGTCTCAGTCAGTGATTTGATTATAGTAATTTTCACTGTCTCAGTCAGTGTTTCTGATTATAGTGATTTTCACTGTCTCAACCAGTGTTTCTGATTATAATAATTTTCACTGTCTCAGTCAGTGTTTCTGATTATAATAATTTTCACTGTCTCAGTCAGTGATTTGATTATAGTGTGTAATTTTCACTGTCTCAGTCAGTGTTTCTGATAATAGTAATTTTCACTGTCTCAGTCAGTGTTTCTGATTATAATAATTTTCACTGTCTCAGTCAGTGATTTGATTATAGTGATTTTTACCGTCTAAGCAAGTGTTGCTGATTACAGTGATTCTACCGTCTCTGCCAATTCTGCTGGTTGTAGTGATATCACCGTCTTACTCTGTATTTCTGATTATAGTAGTTTACCGTCTCAACCAGTGTTTCTGGTTATGGTGATTTTACTGTGTCAACCAGTGTTTCTGGTTATGGTGATTTTTACTGTCTCAGTCAGTGATTCTGATTATAATAATTTTCACTGTCTCAGTCAGTGATTTGATTATAATAATTTTTACTGTCTCAGTCAGTGATTTGATTATAATAATTTTTACTGTCTCAGTCAGTGTTTCTGATTATAGTGATTTTTACTGTCTCAGCCAGTGTTTCTTATTTAAGTGGTTTTGCCGTCTCAACAAGTGTTTTTGATTACAGTGATGGTACTGTCTCAACCAATGTTTCTGATTATAGTGAATTTGGAGCGTCTCAGCAAGTGTTGTTGATTACATTGATTCTACCGTCTCTGCCAATTCTGCTGGTTGTAGTGATATTACCGTCTCACTCAGTATTTCTGATTATAGTATTTTACCGTCTCATCCAGTGTTTCTGATTATAGCGATTTTACCGTCTCAGTAATTCTACTTATAGTGATTTTGGAGCGTCTCAGAAAGTGTTTCTGATTGAAGTGATTTTTACTGTCTCAGCCAGTGTTTTTGATTATAGTGATTTTGGAGCGTCTCTGACGTGTTGCTGGTTGTAATGATTTGGCCGTCTCAGCCAGTGTATTTGATTATAGTGATTTTACCGTCTCAGCTAGTGGTTCTGACTTAAGTAATATTCTTACGTCTAGACTACAGAGAAGAAATTAATGTGTGACATTTCGAGAGCTACATTGTCACCTTTATCAGACGAATGGCCAATGGGAATCTGTTCTATTTATACATGCCAACATTTTTCACGGAATACAGCTATTTGTTCAGATATTTTGTACAACTCTTTTTTCTAGTTTTTGGCAGTGCATGCCTACACCAAAATTTAAGTTCACATCAAAGATTATTTATAATTCGAGCCGCTTTTTTTTTTTTAATTTGTCAAAAAAAGAATTGATTGTTATTATGTTTAGGGCGTTTCTGGTCTTTATGCGCCACACAACCTCCTTTGATATGCTTGTCGTTTTGATAATATATATGTATCCCTCTAATAGACCCCATTTAGATTATACCAGACCTTTACTTACCATAAGATACCTTGTCCAACAAACTGGGTTTGATTCTTCTACCTAAACGATACATTATACGTGTTTTGGTTGTGATTCGATTACTCGCTTCGGATAAGAAGATGCTTACGTACGACGGAAGCGGCGCTGTGACAAAGGCTCACAAATCCGACAAATCTGACAAAATTAAATCGAACATCATATTGACAGTTTCTCTTAATGGAATTCATTTGTTTATTTGTAAAAATAAAACGCATATCATAATACGAAAAAAAATAATAGTCTGAATGATTAACAACACAATGACAGATTCTACCTTTGCCTCGGATTTATAATACATATTAATATGCTTATATAATTATGTATATAATAGTTCAATATCTCCTAAAAATAAACAGGAATTCTTTGTGCGTGGAGATCAGAAAACGACATCAGTGTATTATTTCACTCTCACCGTTCATGACCAGCCCGTTATGATAATGAAAAGTCCGTTCACACATACCGTTATACGTTTTCCTTACACTCCGTGAGAAGGTGAGTGGGTATAAAAATATTAGGTCAAGAACAGTTCCTCTGTATGCCTGCCCCGCCCACCCCAACCCCTCCCACCCACCTTCATCTTCCGCTCCATTTGACAGTACATACTAACAGTATACTTCATTTTTTTTCAAAAATACTTGAGACAAACAGAGAAGGCAGAGCTTTAGACTTACCAATGTATACATGTTAATGGTCAGAAAATTCTATTCATGAATCTGTCACTTCGCTCTCCGAACGCACGTGCATTCCCCTTAGACTAACTCACATCCGGTTCGTCGACGAAACAAGAATACGTCATGTAACTAAGCTCACCTGTCAAAGACAGATAGTTGTGTGTCGGAAAGCTAAACTCGCCTGTCAAAGACAGATAGTTGTGTGTCGGAAAGCTAAGTCGCCTGTCAAAGACAGATAGTTGTGTGTCGGAAAGCTAAGTCGCCTGTCAAAGACAGATAGTTGTGTGTCGGAAAGCTAAACTCGCCTGTCAAAGACAGATAGTTGTGTGTCGGAAAGCTAAACTCGCCTGTCAAAGACAGATAGTAGTGTGTCGGAAAGCTAATTCGCATGTCAAAGACATGTGGATCTGTATGAGAAACTTACCTCGTCCGTCAGACATTTGGTCACATGTAAGATAACTAACTCCATCCATCAAATACACATGGATTTATGTCAGAAATTTATCACAAACCAGCAAAGATACCTGTATATTAGTAAGAAAATAGCCCCGCCCATCAAAGAAACTTGGATAAACATCAGAAAACTAACCCCGCCCGTTAAAGTCACTTAAATACATGTACGAAAACTTAACCCCGTCCGTCAAAGACACTTCGACATATGTAGGAAAAATAAACCCGCCTCCCAAAGACACTTGAACATATGTAAGAAAACTTACCCCGCTCGTCAAAGACACCAGAACATACGTCAGAAAACTATATCCGAAAGATACTCGGATATACAGTGTAACCCCCGCCCTCTAAAGACACTTGGATATTAACCGTCGACACAAAACTAACAAAATGAAACTTTTGTGACACCAGAGACTAGTAATTCGGAGACCGTACATGTCAGTAACATGTACAGGTCTATGATAGGGTTCCAGTTGAACAATCTGTGATGGAAAATCTGATAACATTGAAAATTCTACAAATATCGGCGACTCTAGTGACCCCACAGACAAGGAATTGTCACAGTGTCAGTAGAACACTCACACCTCCACAAGTTGTCATGATAGATGTGAGTCAACAGCATATTTCTAACACTCGTGGTGTAGGATGGTATTATACGCTTACACCAAAGACCCACAATATCTATAGGCGACTAAGAAAGCATGCCTCGTCCTAACGGTCGAATGATCTATGTATATAGAATACACGAAATGATTAACAACATGTATATAACATCAGTGCTGCACCCATGAGCAAACACGTTTCGGAACGTTTTATCTTTTGTCAAGAGCGCACTGCAAAGAACTACCCTCAAATTATATGACCAGACAAACGTTCCCACAAACATTCCAAAACGGTTTTGGTCCTGACCATATCCGAGCTTCGATATCACGTCCGAGCGCGACTATCATTGTTCTTTTGCATTTTGTCGACCAGCCGAGTTTTAATCTAGGACATACTTCATTCTCTCTTGTCTCCGATGACAAGGCGCTGTGCATATCCCATGAGAGCTTTCATTCTATTCGTCATTTGTTCGCTCATAAGTAACTCAAGTGGCGTCGTTTCACGTCCCGTCTGCACTTCCGCTTATCAGCTCGCTTCCGGTATATCTCTTTGCACCTTTGCAGTGACTTCCTGTAGTCTTCTCGATATTTACAGCATTTTTCAAAAACTTTACCAAAACCTGCTGCTCCGCATGAGTTTATCTTTTTCGTAAGATTCTGCCCATATTTCCTTACTTCAGAATTTGAACCTGATGTTTTTAAACGGGTGATGACAAAGTTATTGTTTCTTACTGCTAAATCCACTGTACAGGATAATTTTTTCTTCGCTGTACGGACGCCGATTTTGCAGCACTTCTTGTGTGTGGCACGGAAAACCTTGCGTCGAGGACGTGGTTCAATAATCGCTCGTTCAAGCAGGTAGTCTGGAATAACGGAGTCAACTGTGAAGAGAAAAAAAAAGTATATTATATTGAAGTTATGGATGCTTGTCGTGTCACCAGCCAAGATTAACTCAACCTTAATGATATCCACGTTTCTACTACAATGACTAAATGTTTAAACTCCCGCTGCATCAATTCATCATTCTAACTGTTTGAAAAAACACGAACTTGGCTGGAAGAAACACAATAATTCAGTCCAGATTTGCGGACTCTCGGCGTCCGGATTATTGTGGATCTATTGTAAAACAACTGTCATGTTACCTCTATTTTAACCACAACCTAAACTTATCTATTCTTCCATGCGATTGGTCCAATTGTCACGTGTTTACCATTTTTGAGAAAACAGGACTGTTTATTAATTTCTTTAATATTTTGCCGTGTGTTCTTAAATTTTCTCGCGTTTTCATTGTGAAATCGTTAAAATCCTTATAACTGGATCGTCGCTCTTAATGAGATCGTCCAATATCTCGATACCACCCTGATTTCCAGGTTATTGTTCCTGATAACAAACCTACCACTGTGTTGTTTACTGCGTGTATGGTGATGAGAACAATCCCCAAAGTGAATCACGTTTTAACCAACTGTTGACATTTGTTACTGAATTTCAGGCAGAGTTCATGTGAAAGTGTCGTTTCGTGTGTATTTATGTAATGTTTGACACATATGGGGGTAATGAACAACATCTAGTAGGTCAGTGGAACAAACAATCCCAGACTCCATCCGGTAACAACAGGAGTGATCTTAGCCCGAGAATCGTCACGTTATTGGCTTCGTCTGTGTAAAGCAATTGGAGGCATATAGTTATTGTGATAACGTTAATGTTGGACAAGACTTAAACTTCCCACGCATGTAGATAGATATATAGTTAAAATACTGTAAGTTAGACTAATACAGGTTTAAATGGTACGGGACTTAACTCCCCACTGGTGTTGTTATAATGATAGAATGTAAGTTAGAGTAACACAGGTTTACGTGTCATGGGGCTTTACTCCCCACGGATGTAGTTGTAATGATAGAGAGACTGTAAGTTAGAGTAATACAGATTTACGTGGTACGGGACTTAACTCCCCACGGATGTAGTTATAATGATAGAGAGACTGTAAGTTAGAGCAATACAGGTTTACGTGGTACGGGGCTTAACTCTACACGGATGTAGTTATAATGATAGAGAGACTGTAAGTTAGAGTAATACAGATTTACGTGGTACGGGGCTTAACTCTACACGGATGTAGTTATAATGATAGAGAGACTGTAAGTTAGAGCAATACAGGTTTACGTGGTACGGGGCTTAACTCTACACGGATGTAGTTATAATGATAGAGAGACTGTAAGTGAGAGTAATACAGATTTACGTGGTACGGGACTTAACTCCCCACGGATGTAGTTATAATGATAGAGAGACTGTAAGTTAGAGTAATACAGATTTACGTGGTACGGGACTTAACTCCCCAAGGATGTAGTTATAATGATAGAGAGACTGTAAGTTAGAGTAATACAGATTTACGTGGTACGGGACTTAACTCCCCACGGATGTAGTTATAATGATAGAGAGACTGTAAGTTAGAGTAATACAGGTTTACGTGTCATGGGGCTTAACTCTTCACGGATGTAGTTACAATGATAGAGAGACTGTAAGTTAGAGTAATACAGATTTACGTGGTACGGGACTTAACTCCCCACGGATGTAGTTATAATGATAGAGAGACTGTAAGTTAGAGTAATACAGATTTACGTGGTACGGGACTTAACTCCCCAAGGATGTAGTTATAATGATAGAGAGGCTGTAAGTTAGAGTAATACAGATTTACGTGGTACGGGACTTAACTCCCCAAGGATGTAGTTATAATGATAGAGAGACTGTAAGTTAGAGTAATACAGATTTACGTGGTACGGGGCTTAACTCTACACGGATGTAGTTATAATGATAGAGAGACTGTAAGTTAGAGTAATACAGATTTACGTGGTACGGGACTTAACTCCCCACGGATGTAGTTATAATGATAGAGAGACTGTAAGTTAGAGTAATACAGATTTACGTGGTACGGGACTTAACTCCCCACGGATGTAGTTATAATGATAGAGAGACTGTAAGTTAGAGTAATACAGATTTACGTGGTACGGGACTTAACTCCCCACGGATGTAGTTATAGATAGATACATGGTATATACCGTGGTTAGGTCACAGTGGTAAAGATTAACGTGGTACGGGACTTTAAAAGTCCAGCTAGATTTGACGCCACGATAAGCTGTCGCTTCGAATATAGGTTTTCTCCCCATTCTGATTCAGTAAGGAGACAATCAGAGATGAAAACAATAAAATAAAGAAAGGTAACGAACGATATTGTATATAGCGAATGGAAATATGTTGATCTATATTTATAATTTAGTTGATAGATATCAGTAAGGATGGTACAGCAGAGATTAAAGGTCCCATATACCATTCGGTTCCCCAGCTGTTTCTCCTTTGGAAGTTATGGTAAATTAGTGTGGTAATGTCCTGCCTTCTATCTAGTAACACCAGATTAAATAGAGGGGTCACCTCGCCTTACAGCCTGATCAAACACAGCGAGCAACCTTCAGTCAACTCTGGTGTCAGTATATATGTATTTTAACGCGTGTGCCAAAAATACTCTAAAAATAGAAGCTAGTCTAATGTGCTCTGCGATTTCACGAGTCAAGTCGTAAGCGGTTTTGCTTGATTGAGATCGTACTATGTTTACGTCACGATGGCCCAGGTACGCTGACATGTTTGGCTTACAATGTTACGATAAGCTTTAGTGTTGTGAACTTTAATCGAAACTTTCCATCACATTTTTTCAGGTTTCAATGTTTAGAACGTACAATCGGATGTTGGCCTTACATGAAAAAAATGGCCAATGAAAACAACATCAGCGTGTTTATGGTCCGAGCATGTTTTGATATCACTTGACCAATGGAATGTTCGTATACACTTTGATTGCAGTTAATTGTGAATGGATCGTACCATGTCTGTTCTATGGCGCCACGGATAGAATATCATACCTATTGAATGAAAAAAATCAGGTGTTCGTACGCGTGGCTCACGTGATTCCAATACGACTCATGACGTAGTGTAATTGATCATTGTAATTAAAACGGTTACCAACCGTGAATTATTGGTACGCTGCAGATATCGCCACGTGTGCGAAGGTAAACACGACCCTACTACAATCACGCATACTAAATATATATATACATACTGCCACATGCTTAATTAGTGTCAGTAATTGGATTAGTATGGCGCGTGGAGTAGCGCTGACCTACTAGGAAGGCTACGGCGTCCTCATCACTGACCTAATACACCAGTACCACCACTTTCTCGGGCGCGTAATGTGCCTTAATGACAAAACGTGTGTGTTACATAATCTCCCAGTACATTCCAAACAATGTTATTGTTTTCAGTGACGCGTTGTGTTATTCCTAGTCTTCCTACATCCAATTTTATGGGTCATCATAACGTTTGCCTAGAGTACACACCAGAACGTTGGTATTCATGCCAACAACTACCTGCTACTTTACAGAGTGCCAAATATTTCTCGCCAATGTTCGGCCCTACACACCGTAGATACGTTATTTATGCACGATTTCTTTTCTAAAACAATAAATATCTATGACATGGAGAACTTTGTTCAACGATTTGATGTCCAGTACAATCTTTTGCAAATAACATTACCACAGTGCTCCTTTACCAATTTAAGATGTGCTCAAGCAAGATTCGCAAGTTTGCAGCAATAAGCATGAGTTATTTGATGTTAATGTGAAGTTCTGTATTCTGACTATTCTTTTCGAAGCAATGATGACAAGAATGAAATAGTTGATGTTTACTTAACCGCTCTCTGTACGGCTATTGTCCGATTTATCTGTCACCTTTCAAGCAGCTTTCACAACACAGTTTCTGGACACGCATTACAAAGTATTACCATTCGTTTGGAACTCATTTAGAGATAAGTTCATCTAACCTATGAAGATCTTTTGAAATGCGTTTCGTCATTTTCACTGCTCAACTGAATAACTTTTAATGACTTAAAATGATTGTTTGGCGAGATATGTAAACGTAAATATTTACCTGTTGACGTTACCATGCATGTGGACAGGAAGCCGATCCAGAAAACAATTTTAACGTCCATTTTTACAATTTTTATGAAGTCTCCGTTTTTCAGTCACAAGTTTGTACAATAAGTGTTTGTGCTCTACACGACGGTGTAGTAATGTGTAGTAAGTTAGCGTCTTTAGTGTGTTACCTCGTAGTAAGGTGGGTTAACACTACGCGTACACACCTACATACACATGTAAACAGCTCCCAGCTGATTGCGCTATACCAAACAGTTTTGCCAAGTTTTTTGAACCTCGAAGGAAGCGCGTCGAAGTCAAGTATAAAACTGATGTTGTGTTGGGCTATATATATACTATAAAATGTGGACTTTCTCTATGTTACAGATAAACGCATGATAGTATGTCAATCAAAATCACTCAGCCAATCAGAGCAAGTGTAATTAACGATGTGTACCGTTCTGGAAAGAGAACACTTTAAAATAGACCTCTGAACGCGTGCCTAGCCATTAATAAAAATCAGACCCCTTTGAAAGTAAGCCGATCCGGCGTATGGCGCTAGTGTTTACGGACCTGTGTACGTAATCAGCTTTATATATTCATAGTTATAAATCGTATGTACCATCTGTGAAAACACCACTTTTATTTTCTTGGACGAAGTTATTACGGCTAGTTTTAAAAATCAAATACTTCTACAGACGCTTCTTATATAATGTAGCTAAAACTATTTCTCTAACCTTACACACATCAAATGTAACACTTAGTAAATATACTAACGTCTACCTTTCTAGAGTGATAGTGTTTTCCTCCCCTTTATAAATCCACCTTCCCGTGTCAGAGTTCGGCTCGGATACGATTTCGTTTGTACCCCTCCAAGGTCACAGCTACTTAGAAACATAAAGCACGGGATCTCGAGCAGAAAACGACAACATAATCACTGAAGTAAAGGTTCACAGCCAAGTCACTATATAAAACCACCTGGGTGACCGATAAATAAAGCCTGGTGTTATTATCGGGTAGGATTGTAGTTTTAAGATTGCCATGGGATGCGGGGATATAACTGTCATTAAAGGTATATTTAACAACAAGGAGACGAACATGTGACGGAAAAACAAACAGCATGGCTGATTTGATTTTGTTGTTACTGAAGGTTGCCATCGGTGTGATTGATATGGGTAACCTTGAAAGGATTACGCGGGCTGTGTATGCAACCTTGGAAGTATCAACGTAACTGAAATAGCTCTTTGTAGTTATGATTTGTAATTACACAGAACGCCCACAATCAGCTATCAACGGAAGCAAAGTGAAATGTGCAGAAAGGAATATTAAAACTTCAAAATAACCTACCTGGCAGAAAATGCATCCTATTATATACAGCTTAGTTGACACGACGGCCTTCAAGTGTGATGATAGAAGGACGGAGGTGGCTACATACGCTATGGTCGTGATTCGTTTTTTCTGGGGTGATAGAAGGACGAATGCTGAATGATAAAGGGTTGAAGCTTTCTGTTTTGGTGATGGTAGTGGTTTAGGTTTGTCTCTGAATTGATAGAGAGATGGACGCTGTGTGGGTGATGGTCTTCTTTTTTTTTCTGAGGTGATAGAATGATGGATAATCCAAACTCTAATTCAATAAAACTAGAGCAAAATATGAACAAAAGAAAGATTTACACGGACACCCCTGAAAGAGTACAAGGAAAATAAGACCAAGAGAATAGTAAGTGTCTTCAGCTTCATCGACGACACCCACCATGTAAATCGTGGTCAAACCGAGTAAGTACTGTCACGTTCACAAATGAGAACAAGGTTTACAACAACGGAAAAGACCTGCAAACGAACGAGCATCAAACACGTCTATCTTCATAGCGCACAGAGAAATAGAATATCTCTCAATGAGATAGCTATGACGACCACGAAACACCAATGGTTGGGGATGTGGGAATGTTGCTTCGAAATGGAAAATTTACAACTGAATTGGAATAAATTATCACGCTCATCACACAGCTTAGTGGGAAGCTGTCCATGTTGGTTTCGTTGCAGGAAAATATCGAAATTAGAGTCAGTCATGTCCTTAATTTCCAAATCTGGTTGGTAATACCATGAGCGTGGTCAATTAATCATCAATATATGAGAAAGTGAACTTGAAGGACTTTGTAAGGATTTGCGACTTGTTTTGATAAGCTCTTCATAACTTTATCCTTACATACGTCAGCCATAAGCAGTGCATAGTTACGTCCCAAGGGAATTGGTAGATTGGTAGATTTGATCACCAAACACTACAACGATGTTATCAATCAGCATCTCGATATTTCTCATGATTTCGTCCTCCGTATATTCACGAAATACACTTCAGCACGTGTACCGCCGTTCACGTTTCTTGGAAAAAGCTCTCGTAACAAGAGAAAGCAAAGCTCTATTAGTTTAGAAAGGGGTATGGTGATGCAAAGAGTGTTTACAGGAGACTGAAGCCCCCTTTTCCAGCGAAGGTCGTGATTTTGATATGCTTTTCTTGGGGGGAGGGGGGTAATAGAATGCTGTATAAAAAAGGGTTGAGGGCTGATGTTGAGGTGATGATTGTGGGGTTTTTTGTTTGTTTTTTAAGTGATAGAAGAAAGATTACAAGATTATGAAGGGTTGAAGGATGATGAAGGCTGTGATTTTGATATGCTTCTGAAGTGATTCACTGTAATAAGTAGGATTTCTACCTTTTGGCTTTTACCAGGTGAAAAATGATGTATACACACAAAAGAAACCTCCATTTTTTGGTAATACCTTTATCATTTTATCTCAATGTATCTTTAACTTCTACAACTAAAGGAAGATACATATTTATGAATTTAGATTTGTCAAGACAGAAGAGGACGTAGTCATTGAAATTTTCTGACTTCAGTGTGGAGTATCCCCACTGTAAGCTTTTGTTGTTATTTGATATTTGTCTTATACATAACGTTTCCTACACGATTTATCAATGCTATAGGAATGTTCTGCTAATCTTTCAGAAGTACTTGATGCAGATCGTGTAGAGCCTCTGGTGGATTTCGGCGCATTTGAATGCGTCCATCTTACATGTTTCATACATTCTCTATTTGCGAGGGATCGAGAATGTATGGGGCCAAAGTGACGTTTTGTTGAAGATATTCCATAGCAGGTCGCGCTACATGACAATGAACAGGATGCAGAACAGTGTTCAATGTATCGTTGAGCTGTCACCCAAATATATAACCCTATCACCACAAAACCTGTCAAGTTCCATCGTTCACTAAAACGTCGAAAAACACACTGAAAACCACATTAACGGTACAGTGTGAATTCTGACCGTCAAGAAAGGTTGTCAGGCGTCACCTTTGCAAAGGAAACACACGTGCACGTTGACGATGTAGCCATTAGTGTCTGACGTCACGTCTATTAAGGGGAATTCCCACTGAAACGCGATGCGGCTTGATCCTGTAGGAGCGGATACACCTCAGTTCAGCATCTCAGCTTATTCTTGAATTATTTGTAGATGTTTTTTAAGAAGTTCTAAAGCAGTTGTTCAAGTGCTGCAGCCTCTTGAATCGATCATGATGAGGTGCGATAATCTTCGTTCGACCTCATCGCGGTCGGTCGGCAATTGTACAATTAGTCTAAGACGGCGGAAAAGACAAGATATTATGCTTTTGAAGACGTTAAGAGCCCTTGCCAAGGCGTTATGGGTGTTTTCAGCCAACAGTAACTACACTGCCATGTTCATTGTTGGTTAGCCTCGGCATCTTTTACGCAATTTCATCATCGGACGATTATATCGAGATACAAAAACGGTGAGAAACACGAAATGCTGCAAGTACTAATCGGGGTATGTATCGATGTCTCGCGAACACGAGAACGTGTAGTCGTCACTGACGAGTCCAAGAAGGACGAAAAAATTGAATGACATCGTTTGAAAATCCGTGTACACCATATATGTCTTTGTTCAAATTCGTTTACACTTCAAATGTCTGCATACAGCCTTCATGTACACAAAACTTTCTACGCCACAACTTTATATACACAACAAATGTCTGTCCAGCCATCGTGTACACAACTAATACACAAATGGGTATGTGAAGCCTTCGTGTACACAGCGAATGTATAGTTCCAGTCTTTGTGTACACAACAGAGGTATGTACCCCGTCTTCGTGTACACAACATATGTCTTGTCCAGCCTTTGTTAACACAAATATCTACCTCAAGCTTCCTGTACACAACAAATGTGTATATGAAGCCTTTGTATACACAGTAAACGTCTTTATTAAGCCTTTCTACACAACATGTGAGGTATTCGTGTACACAATAGATATCTTTACACGAATGTCTGCCTCTTGCCTTCGTGTACCAAACAAATGTCATTGCCCAGCCTTCGTGTACCAAACAAATGTCATTGTCCAGCCTTCATGTACACAACAAATGTCTATATGTCCAGCCGTCTTGTATACAACAAATGTCTGTCAGTCATCGTGTACACAACAAATGTCTATATGTCCAGCCTTCTTGTAGACAACAAAAGTCTATATATCCAGCCTTCTTGTACACAACAAATGTCTATATGTCCAGCCTTCTTGTATACAACAAATGTCTATATGTCCAGCCTTCTTGTGCACAACAAATGTCTATATGTCCAGCCTTCTTGTACACAACAAATGTCTATATGTCCAGCCGTCTTGTACACAACAAATGTCTGTCGGTCATCGTGTACACAACAAATGTCTATATGTCCAGCCTTCTTGTAGACAACAAAAGTCTATATATCCAGCCTTCTTGTGCACAACAAATGTCTATATATCCAGCCTTCTTGTACACAACAAATGTCTATATGTCCAGCCTTCTTGTATACAACAAATGTCTATATGTCCAGCCTTCTTGTACACAACAAATGTCTATATGTCCAGCCTTCTTGTAGACAACAAAAGTCTATATATCCAGCCTTCTTGTACACAACAAATGTCTATATGTCCAGCCTTCTTGTACACAACAAATGTCTATATGTCCAGCCTTCTTGTACACAACAAATGTCTATATGTCCAGCCGTCTTGTATACAACAAATGTCTGTCAGTCATCGTGTACACAACAAATGTCTACATGTCCAGCCTTATTGTACACAACAAATGTCTATATGTCCAGCCTTCTTGTACACAACAAATGTCTATATGTCCAGCCTTCTTGTACACAACAAATGTCTATATGTCCAACCTTCGTGTACACAACAAATGTCTACATGTCCTATCTACTATTACTACAATATGTATACAATAGTATGAAGATAGTATTGAGGACGACTACTATTACTACCATGAACTTGCGGTATTGAGTAT